TTACTTCAATCTGATTTCTTTTGCCCTTGTTAACTTAACCTATTCTCCCCCTATCCCCCTCCCCCAAAAATGTCTCTACTTCTACTACAACTACTACCAAGTCTCCACTTCTACCACTTCTACTACTTTGAAAACAACTCCTTCTAATTTGTCCAGCACCTTCTGCTATGCTATGTACATGTGCTAGAAGACCGTGTTCTTTGACAAAATAATTTGTAAATATGCCTTAATTATGGATAGCTCTGACCCGGACCTTATAAGGTGAAAAAAAGATAATAAAAACAGGCCTATATTTCTGACCCAAATATAAGCAAGATTTTGACCCAAATGTCTGACACAACGAAAATTTTTCAAATACGAAACTTTTACTGGGCCGTTCAAAGAAGAAGAAAAGCCAAGACTGTCATCCAAGATGCCCAAGCCGTAAGAAAACTTTCTCATTAATTAATCACCGGGAAACGCCCTGTCGGTGCCTCTGTAAACAAAAAAGGCCACAATTTATTGTTTTAACATTAAAGCACCAAAATGGACCCATATCCAAAGATCTTTGTCATACCCTTAATTCGGTCTCCAAATAAGACCAAGTAGCGTTTTTTGAACTGAATTTCGGGAAACCAAAACCAGAATTGAGGTGAACATCATTATAAGCCAACAAGAACTCAAAGTTAGTAGAAACAGGCAAACGTCTTGTAAGCGTGCGCTGCACTTTTATACGAAGTTTGTTCACGAGTAGATCAATAAATGCACATGTCTCATTGTTCTGTATTAACAAAGAAAGTACTAGATACAGGCATGCACTTCTCCTTAGGTAGCCGGCAAATTAAATTTCGTAGACAAAATTGGTTTGGAAATTTTGCTTTGAATTTAAAATTTTTGTGGTAATGAGTGAGGCGGGTCTCAAAGCGGACGGGAGATTACAAGGAAGAATTTATTAGTGGAAATCAGTCATCTCGCCATCTCGTGACCGGAATCAGTATCCACCACACTTTATTGACTCAAAAGCCAAAAAATCGATTCAATTCTCCTAGGTATCTATCAGACCCATATTGAGATTTTACCTTTGATAACCTTTAAAAACCCCTAATAACTTGAAACACTACACTCACTTAGGCCTTTTTATTTCTTTCTTATTTGACCCATGATAACCTTAACTATATTTGCTGATTCGCGGCGAGTCAAAACAAAATACAATGTAAGTCCAAAGAAATAATTATAAATTCTGTTAAGATACAGTGAAGTTCACTCCAATTTTAACTCAGATCCCATACCAGGAGCTGAATTGACCCGTCTTGAAATGTGAAGTTCTTCCAGGTCAGTCAGGTCCTCTGTCTGTGGAAGGTGGAATAAGCAAGACAAGTGTAATCAGAGGCTGTGGTTGTCAGAGAAACGGCTAACTCCGCCATTCTCTGTGCGTCCGATTTTCTTGCTTGTTCCCAGTAGCAGGACATGGGGGCTGCTTAACTCACTGTTAACCGCGACAGGAATCAATGGCAGGCGTTCTCTAACCGAGGTCTTATGTGCATAGACGTACAAAGAGGACCAATTTACAGGCTCTTGGTACTTTCCGATAAAAGTAGCATGCTCGAAAAAGTTCCGCACGGTTTGAAGAGCTACGTTACCGCGGTTTGGGGAGCTTTTAAAACTTGACCTAAAAATTTTAGTTTCAATTGCGATAGTCGCATTTCCCTTTTCATTTTTTCTATCGTGCCCATCCTGGATAAGGATAAAGAATGGTGTTTTCTTCTACCTACGACGTTGTAGAAGAGTTGCTTTGAACTTTTATTTTACCGTCGAGTCTTATTTAAAACTTAATACATATCAACATCTATTTCATGTTTCCTTCAATCTTCTCCTTTAGCAAAGTGCGCAAACGGCTCAATCTCGAGCCATCACGAGGTTAGAAAAAATGAATAAACACTGCCATGCATCTATCTCACGACAAAATGACTTGTACCAAGTCCTCAGAGAGTAAATAATTCAAAGGTTAACACGTGTCAATCTATGTTAAATGCTTTTTTTATCTTCCTCTCTTGCAAAGTGTGCAAACGGTACAATTTCCTGGTGACGGGTTACATTCATGCAGTAAGTCTGTGATTTTCTCGTGTATAATTGTGGATCCTTCTTGAATTTCCTAAGTAAGCTGTGATTTGCGAATCGCTCGGGGACATCTCTTTTTACATCTTTAATAAATTCTCTCCAGGCTTTGTTTATTCCCGCAAGAGACCTCGGGTATGGGCGATGCAGAGGATTGTAGACTGTTACAGGAAAGAACAACAACGCTTGCCCACGAAACTTTATCTCTACGACAGAACAAAGATATTTATCTGTGAACCACCAATTAACTTGTTCAAACCGTGTATCCAGCGGAAATATGTGGACGACCGCTTTTGCATGAAAGGCATTAATAACAGGATCGAAAAAAATGATCGGACTTGCAACCCAAGTGTGATTTACAAAGTTCTTATTGCAAATCTTCCAGTTTAGTTGGATTAAAGATTTCGCTGGATTGTTCGAATAGTCCATTACACCAACTGCAGGCTCGTAATCCAGAAGCCAGTTTTGGAAAGCTTGGATTGGACTGAGTTGTCTCATTGCTGGAGTTGCTTTTTCGTTAAATTTCAGGGAGATGTCATCGTCAAGAAATATGTAATACAAGTAATAGGTGTTTCTCTCTAAAGCGTGGAAGAAAAGCCTGTTACGACCGGATCCCCAAGTGGTTGTGTTGTCAAACAAGTAGGTGAAGTGAGCTGGGCGATATTCTCGGCACTCTGCTTTATAACTTAAAACAACAACGTCACAGCCACATTTTGAACGGTTGCCTAAGTCCAGATTTCGTGTGACATTCGTTCGAAGACATCTTTCGGTTTGTGTAAGATACAGAAATAATTCTTTCGTCGCTTTCACCTGGTTTGGGCTTTTAGCAGAGTCAAATTTCCACGTGGTAAAGATTAACGTAACCAGCATTAACGTAGCGAAAAAGAAAAGAAACTTCCACGTCGCTTGAATCTCGTTAAGAGGCATGTCTGACCTGTCTGAGTGGCTAAAGAGTGCCTTGTTTAAATTTGACACTGTGTAATCTAACGAAAAATTGTTAGTTGGAAAATCGCGCCGCTATGGCTACATATCGTGATTGAAAAACCTTTCACTCTTTTCTTTGTCTTAAGTTTTGTTTTTTCTTCATTTTTTCTTTTATGTTTTCCAAATTTAAATCATGGATCTCCACAAAATATTAATAAATCTCAGGTGGAAGCTTCATAAACATTGTTAATGAAAACAGAAAATTTCAATTTGAACTATCTATCTTGGATAAAGATAAAGAATGGATTTTTCTCTGCTAAAGAGGTTAGAGTATGGCTTTAAGCTTTTATTTTATGCCAAAATGTCTTTCACCTCAACAAATTTGGGATCAATATCAGTATCTGGGCAACTGCCCACCTACCCCTCCCCTAACCCAACATTAACCCTAAGTTGTTATCAATAGACTGTTGTTCGTTTAGGGGAGGGGTAGGTGGGCAGTTGCCCAGATACTGATATTGATCCCAAATTTGAAACTTCATAGCCATATAAAATTTTTTTTCTGATCTTCTTTCGCAAAATATGCAAATAATACATTTTCACGGTACGGGTTACATTCATTCAATAAATCTGTGATTTTCTCGTGAATGATTGTGGATCCTTCTTGAATTTCCTTAGTATGCTATTATTAGCGAAAAGATCAAGTTCGTCTAATTTCATAACTTAAGTGGATGCTCTCCAGCTGAGCTTCCCTTGTTCCTGCACATGACATTGGATATGGGTGATGCAGCGAATTAAGGACTGTCGTAGGAAACAATAACAATGCTTACCTGTGGCTGTGGTTGTCAGGGAAACGCCTGAATCCCGCCATTCTTTGCACACGGTCTTTTGCGCATTTTTACGTACTTCAAATACTTAAATGGAATCGGTAGTTTAAAAATTAATTTTAAACGTAATATTGTCAATCAGAACTGTTAGACCAGCTAGCGGTGAAAAACAATGTAACTTTTGGCTATAAATATTAAACCCTTCCTAAATGTCTTAATCCACAAATAAACTTGTCATCCTCAATGTTAACAAGATGGTAACTGAACATGACTGGCTTTTGAAATAGGTCACGTGGTGAGTCCAAGAAACAAAATGGACGTTTTCAATACAAACACTCAGCTCATTATTTGATCACGTTGTCCATGATTCGTTTGCAGTAGTTCGTGGGAAATTTACACACTTCTGAAGGTGTCTTACGAAGTGGCCAGGCATAGTGGATTCAGGTAAATAACGTTTGATAAAGCTGGAAAGTCACGGTGTTTTAAGAGGAAGTAATTCTTTCAATAAAGTGAAAAATAAAATGGCAGATCAACAGGAATCCCGTAATTAAATTAAGTAATTGAAGTTTCAAGTTTCCCTTTTCCTCAACTTTGTTTCCTTTATATATGTCAAATTTCTATGAAAAGTTCAACTCATTCTGATAAATTTGTATGACAGCGGTTTTTCTTATGTGTTACCATTCAAAATTTTGCGCGGGAAATTGGCGCGCGGGTGGCCAACATAAAGCCATTTGCGCATGCCTTTAGCCTGAATACTGTGTTCACTGTGCTAAGTAATCGCAGCAGCTATCATGATTAAAATTTGCTGATTTTTCACTCTGGCACACTTTATGTATTACGCAGCTTAAGCGAGCCTGATGAAAAACATTCACATCCAGCATTGGCAGCGACCATGGCCGTGTACCACCAGTAGTGTCAGATAAATTATGCTCGAAAACTTGAGCACTATGCTTGGATTCATGCCGAAAATTAGGCTTATTTTTTTCATCACCGAGATCAATGCAATAATTCAAACTAACATCTTTTAAAACCCTCTCAACCTACCCTTCCCCTCGCTGCTAGCAGGTAAAACTTGCCAAGAATAAATAGGCATACTAAAGTTCAAAATACAACATTTTATTGGATCAAATTCTTGAAGTGCTAGTAAGAAAGATCACTGTTGACGTTTCTCAGGCTCTTGTTGTACTGCAACATTAAGGGAATTTTTAAGAAGTCTAGTCATTACGCCGGCATCATGCTCGATGCTCTGAAAATAGCATTAAGCCCAAATTAAGCCGGCATAACTCATCTGACCTTGGTGAACATCCTTCAGTCAATTAGGTTTTAGTAGTTGCTATTTTATTGTCTTTTTCACAGGCTCTTATGATTGTTTCCTTTTATCGTTCAGATGGGTTTTTCCGTTTGGTATAATCCCTAAAGGAAATATATTCTTGATAAAGCAATGGCTTTGTGAACTTAATTTCTTTCAAATCACTAATGACGCAAGCAGGTTTGTATATAACGTCATGAAATATACTGACCCTGTAATTAATATTAAATTTAGATAATGTGGTCATTTTTTATTTTTTCCGCCTAATAGAACCTTTTCCTACGAATGCGACTACCCTTAGCAGGCTGTTGTTTTTCCAAGTGTGCATATGGAATGATTTCTTGGTGACGAGTTATACTCATGCAGTAGGTCCACGATCTCCTCACATAAAGTATAGGATTTTTTCTAAAATTCTTAAATAAACGATGGTTTTTGTAGTGATCAGGTGCTTGTTTTTGAATGCGTTTGATAAATTTTTTCCAAGTTATGATTGTTCCAAAAAAAGATCTCGGATAAGGCCGATGGAGGCCATTTTCCACTGTGAGTGGAAAGTACAGCAGTGCTTGTCCGCGAAATTTCATCTCCACAGCTGAAGCTAAATACTTGTCAGTTAGCCACCAGTTTTTCTTTTCATATCGTGTATCCAGCGGATATATGTGGCCGACTGCTTTAGCATGGATAGCATTAAAGAGAGGATCGAAAAAGATTGTTGGATTGGCCACCGTTCTGTTTTTGGCCTGAAGCCTTCCACAAACATTTCTTTTCCTTAAGTGCACGAGTTTCCCTTCGTTGCGGCCCTCATAATCGACTAATCCGACAGCAGGCGCGTAATCAAGAAGCCAGTTTTGGAAAACTTGGATTGGACTGAGTTTTTTCATGGCAGGTGTAGCTTGGCGATTGAACCTCAATGAAATGTCGTCGTCAAGAAAAATGTAATAGATGTAATTTATGTTTCTCTTTGTCGCGTGGAAAAAAAGCTTGTTTCGGCCGGTACCCCAAGTGGTTCTGTTGTCAAACAAGTAGGTGAAGTGACGCGGTCTTGGTTCGTTACATTCTTCTCTATAACTTAGCACAAGAACATCACAGCGACATTTCGAACGGTTGTACAATTCCAGGCTGTGAGAAAGATTTGATCGAAGACATTTCTCAGTCTGTGTGAGATATACGAATTGAGGAGAAAGTAGTCTTTCTGTTGCTTCTGTGGTTTCTGAATTGTTGTCAATTCTGTTGGTCTCTTTCTCTACTATTCCTGTTGAAAGGTTTATTTGTTGTCCAATATTAACGAGTGAATCTTCTTTTGTACTTTTGCTTTCAGATTCTTTTGCTTCTTCTGTTTTTAAAACACTTTCAGTCATGTAATTTCTGTGGTTGATTTCCTCTATTTCTGCCATCGTCAGCTCTATCTGCTTTCCAGGGGAGCTCTCAAAGTACAGATCGAAATCACCAGGCTTGTTTTCGTTGCTTGTCGTCAGCAACGCGGAAGCCGTGAATAGAGCAAGGAAGCAAAAAGCTCCCATTTTCTTTAGGGTTCTTCTCTTGGACGCTATCATCTTTCACCTGTAAACACTGGCTTCCTGTCTTCTTGACCCTCAGAAATTGCCACTGTTTTCGTAGATCAAGCTCGTTAAATAACATGAAATAAGGTTGTTTTCTCCAATCAGATATCGGCAAAATATTGTGAATTATATGTTAAATCAAATTAGACCGAGATGTATACTTCTCTGTTGATATAAAAAGATACCTTTACCAAAGCAGAAGTTCAATATCTCATAACACAACTGACTGCTTTTGCACACAAATAAACAATAGCCTCCAGCTTTGGTTGCAACCACAAAGTGGCGCCTTTTACGTAAAGGAAATTACAAAGTACTTCCCTTTTGGCAATTTTCCAACACTTTTGAAGACTGAAGTGAACTGTAATGTGTAGATTTTGACTGAAAAACAAGCAAGGATAATGTTACATCTTTGTGGTAGTCACAAACAACTGCAACCGTTCCTTTCAGGACGGCGTGTTGATTTCCCACAACTCTTGCAAACACAAATTTCTCAGGGGAGGTGAAAGATAATGAGTGTTTGACGTCAGATGACCCAAAGGACTGTTCTGTTTACAAAAAATGCATTTAATAATTATTTCCTGTTTAGACATTTGGCCGTCAATTTATCTGACTTTAATAAACGTTGTCTTGAAACATCATTTCGGTTTACTTTTAGAGCTCTGGCAAACGCTTTTAAGATTTGAAAAATAATCAATTGAAGCTATTGAAGCTAGGTATTTCACTCGAAATTGGAAGGATATAACAAAGGTTTAAAGACAACATGAGATAACCCCAAGGAACTATGGACAAAAAAGATTGTTTTTGAGGTTTTGCCTAATCCTTTCACTAGAGTGACCAGGATCTAATTTCTCCTCACTGCGTCACTTCCAAACCAGGCTTTGAGGTCACAAGAATAAGGAAATGATCACCAATTCGAAAGATGCTTTTGATTGTTCAACAGATTCTCTTTGCCGACATCGTATATTGGAAATGTATTACGAACAGCATGAAGAGTATGCAGACTGATGTTAGGGCCTAAAGGAAGAAATAAAAAGATCTATGTATCGACAAAATCATCATACAAACAAAGATTATTTTATTCTTAGTTAGATTGTTATCATCTTGATATTTTCATTTTCAGATACTAAACTGTTGTGGTAAACCCCTCAACTCCAAGAAATAGTAATAATATAATTTCAACCTATTATTACAGATATTAACAATTGTTACACGAATGTCCACCGGAAGGAAAGTGAATGTATTTATCTTATTAAACGTGCTGGTGAGTAATATCGCTGAGTATTTTTAAGAGTTATGACGTATTTTCACCACTTTGCGGGCTCGTAAAAATACAAACAACGAAATAAAAACCCTAAAAACGTCTCTTAAGTTGTTATGATGAAACTGCTTTATGTCATATGCACTTCTTATCAAACAGGTTTTTCTCAGCACAAAATAACCATTTTTCTAAATAAACATACTATGTATATGAAACAATAACCTACGCGAAAACATACTCGGTTATTTTAACATGGGATATTTGTACTTGATTCACGCGTTATGTACACATAATACAATTAGATAATGTCGAATGATTCTTAAGAGGAAGTTGAAGTATGGTTCGATGTTATTCACTTAGTTCATACTTGTTTTGGAATCTTTTCTTCGGTGAATGTTTGTTTTATTTCCTTCTTCAAAAATAGCAAAAGATCACACGGAATCCATTTCTAAAATAATAGTTTATCAATATTGTGATCACCTGTAGAGTCAGATAAATAATGAAGGCATAATTTTGGATATAATGTTATAGACAGAGCATCGAGCAGGATGTATTGTCGGCGTAATTTCCATGATATTACAGTAGAACGAGAGACAAATTCTGTAGCTTGAGTAATATCTTCAGAGAGTCTGCTTTACTTGCTTGCACTTTTGGAATTCGATCGATTAAAATGTTGTGTTTTGAACTTTGGTCTTCAACCTTTTATTCGATTCCCAGCAAGTTTTATCTGTAGATGGTAGAATTGGGAGAGGAAGTTTGAGGGTTCTTAAAAGCTATTATTTAAAATTATCAAATTAAGCATAATGAAAAGGTTGTGAGCATAATTTTCGGCATAAAGCCAAGTTTTCAGGGATGACGCTCAGGAGAACAATGCTCAAATTTACCAGCATAATTTATCTGATCGTTGTCTCCTGGCGTTGCGAAATAATAGAAATTGTGATGTAATTCTTGACCAGTATATTAACAGTCAACTGAGCAATTACACTGAATTACTTTGGTCCTTATAAAATGCTATATTTAAAATCTCGCCGCAGTGAAATTTTGAACTTGGTTGAAGTAAATTAGATTTCAATTTTACTATATAGCGTCAATACCGCAGCTTATTAAAGGCTGAGCCCAGCGCGTGTTGTGCGTAAAACAAATTAACAACGACAGGCAGACCACAGACAAAACAAATGAAAGAAAACAAAAACGAACAACCAAACCACAAATATTACAAAAAAGGAACAACAAAAACAAAAATGAGGCAAAAAGTAAAAACAAACAAACTGCTGTCATGCGTGCACTGCGTAGTTACGTAATATTATTTCATGGCAAGGTACTCTTGAGGGAAATCCGAGCGTTCTGATCAATTCTTCTTTGGTTGGAACGTTTCCGAGGAAATGGCCATAAAGCCGTTTATGTTGTTCGCGAAAGCCGGCAAATTAAAAATAAACAAGGTAATTTAGTATTATCAACTGAGTTGATTACGTAAATTGACCACCGTAAAGAGTTTCAAAGCTGACGTTTTGAGCGTTAGCCCGTCGTCAGAGTGAATGTTTTACGTAATCAATTGATTAGATAATACTAAATCACCCTGTTATACTCTCCCACCGACGCAGCACCACAGTTTCTTTAGAAACTTACCCCCTTATATAATTATCTTGTTAGGACATAGCTTATTCGAGCCCTGCTGAGGGATATTGGCCGTAGAAACTACCACAAAATCAGGCCAATATTCTTTAGTACGGCTCTCACACTCGGTTGATAAATTAAGATTGATAGACTGAAATAGTTTCGATGACTTCTAGATATGCTAAGCTCTTCTGAGATTTCGGCATCATCTATAGATCAATCGGCCGTCTAGATGGTTTTCTAGCCTTTAACCTTTGCGTGCATTTTGATTCGTTCATACTTGAACTTTTAACTTTCAGATGAAATCTGTAATTCTCCTTACTGTCCATCATGCAATTCTTATAATGTTAGTTTTAGAGAATTTAATATTGGATCAAAGAATTATCCCCAAATTGATAATTTTCTTTATTCTCATCACTTATCTGCTTGAAATAGTACTAATATTGTAAGGAGAAATTCTTTCTTGGTCACTCTTGGGAGCTAAAGTGTTAAAAACACTATTTGCGGCATAATTTGCTGTAGCAGCGTCATGTAGTACTTGTCACTTCTCCCTGGTCAGTGCTAATCAGCGAACTGCAGGAACTCTGGTAAAAAAGACGCACGCACCCAGCTTCCCTGAACAAACGCTGCATGATCGGTGTATAGCTGCGCTCATTTCTATTGGCCTGCGCCACGGCTTCCTCTGCCCGCAGTTTAGGGAGATGTTAGAAAGAGACATTATTAGCAACTAGCAGGCTTGGGCGATCGATGCAGTATAATCCCACAAAAAATTAAAATCGTGCCGAATTCGGTCTATGATACAAACCAGATTCCGTCCTCAACGCTAGTTTTGACCCTATCGTACATTTTCTCTTTTGAGCAGACACCCTTGCCCTTTGTTAGAAAATTTCTTAAGAAACTGTGGCGCTGAATCGGAGGGGTATTATACAAGATGATTTAGTTATATCAATTGAGTTAACAATGTCAATTGGCCACCGAAACTTGCGCGAACAGGCGCTAGTCCTTTGTCGAAGCGCTTTTTGTTTGATTTTTTTTCGTAACCCTAGGGATGGAATAATAATGTAAGGTGATTATATTTAAAAAAAGTCCGCACATAAAGTATATATATTTTCTTTTCTGCTTTAATTTTTGTTTTTTGGAAAAAACGCAAGGTACCTTTACAGCTTGTATACGCGTTCACAAGATCAAAGCCACGAGGCGTGAAAACGAACTTATTTACATTTCTCTCGTTTCGTTTCCTCTCTTCTGTATTTTTCTCTGGCTATGTACAAGAGCTCTGATATATCTTAGAAATCTACTCTCTCTTTGAAAAGGACCATAAAAAACCTACACTCTTACTTTTTTTAGAAATATATTTATAAAGAATATATATAAATTTAGTAGTTAGATTTATTATAGGGTGATTTTATAGTGGCAGTAGCCAAGTACAGTCTGGTTTTAATTTAACTGTTGCTAACATGAACAAGACCTCAAAAGATGTTGAAAACAAAGCGAAACACTTTTTCAGTTCCTATTAAAACTCGATGTAACGACTTTGAAAACAAGCATCTAGCAAAAACTTGGCCAAGATTTTGAGTTGAGCTTCTTCAATCGCAAACCTTTTTAATCCTCTCCCTTATTGATCAATTTTTTCCTTTCTTGGTTCATTATTAGAGACCTTTAGTTGTTTGGACGAGTTCGAATACATGCTGCAGATTTTTTATAGAGTTCGAGTGAAGATTGGGCGAATGAGAACCAGCGTTGGATATTTTGAAGGGAAAATGTAATGGCCGTCCACATGACAGCACGATTTTTGCAAAACAGACACATTAATCGTTTCACAGAATTCTAAAGAGAACTTATTGAATTGTTTTCGAATAGGAATAAGAATGCAATGTTTGTTTCTTATCAAGAGAACAGTTATACCTTAGGTATTTTGCTTAAAAGATGAATTAAAATCTGCAATGCACGTATTCGAAAGCGCCAAAAAAAAATCAGTTTTCTTTTTAAAGCGAGATTATAGAATATCTTCCCACATTCTGAGTATCAGCTTGGACAAGTGGTTCTGTGTTCTCAAGAGACTCCGTCGGCGATCCATTCTCTAACGGGGGCAACATGCCACATATTTGCGCGCGTTTATACGAGGATGTTCGAAAGACCTGTTTGTGAGGATTTTGTTTATACGAGGGTGTGCGCCGTAATGGGTTGTGTCTCGCATCGATATGCAGCTGTTGAAGTTGATGATGCAAAGGCTGAAAATACGGGGCCTGTTTTTCCTGTTTAAAACTAGTTTTCTGTTCGGCGACAGGCTCCATTCTTCCATCAGTTCTGTCTTGTTCGTTGTTTGCCATAAGTTCCTCATAATGTTTTTGTAATTCCTCACGCATTTGATCATAATTTTGTTTGTACTCGGCGTGAACTGCCTGCTGATCTGTAAGCTCGGAGGGCGATAGCGATTTTTGGTATTGTTCTTGAAGTCTTTGATGCTCTAATTGCAGTTTTTTAATTCGGTTTTGTGTTGACGTTATCCTTAAGTTTTGTTGAAAAGCAATTGCCACAGCATTCCCATCCGACGCACGCCTCCCGAGCGGCACGTGGAAATTCGACCTGGGATCGTGCAAATGCAGTCCTGAGCCTCGATGTGAAACAAACGGTGAGGCGGACGACGTAGAAGTATTACCAGGCCCGCAATGCGAGACGACAATAGCTGGTTTCATTTGAAACGTTGGGATAATACCTTCCTCCAGCACTTCTTCCGAAGCACCGCGGGCAAGGAGAGGGTGATACGGCGGAACTATCAGTGGTTGTTTCGGCATCGTATGAACCGTATGTCGCCTGGGTTTAAGGCTTTTGTCATCGACGTCTTCACTTTCCATTTTTTCTATAACCGCAGATTCAATGTCTGAGTCCATTTCTCTGTTAACACTATTGTCTAGCGATAATGAAGGTCCTATCATTTGCCGCGGTGAAATCGAGCGCGCTTTGAGTCCAGGTTCGCGAAGCGGTGAGAGTTCCTTGACACACTCCGTAGCGATTTCCCGCCTTATTTCAGGTGGCGTTGGAATGCGCTCGTGAAGTTCATTAATAGCGTATTGCAGAGGAATATAAGGTCTCGCAGGTTGCGCCGGGACGGTCCGTTGAGCAGCGCGAGTTGGCACTACCACAACATTGTTCTTACTCCCCCTTACAACAGCAGCCTCCGCAATCCCACTTGGCCGACGGAGTCTGGTCTCTAACTGGGTTTGCAGAGGGTAACTGGCTCTGTGTTGACGTAATCGATCCACCAATAAGTAATAAATAGCTGTATGGTGGTCATATGCGTTTTCAGCCAGAGCCTGGTAACAAAGAAAACAGACGCATTAAGCCTACATGTACATAGCACTTGACAAACAACACGAATACTGCTACACTTGGTCTCCTCGTTCAGGTGTACTACGAATTCAAAGCTGAGAAAAGTACTGGCAACTGCAAGATATTGACTCAAGTAATTCCTAAAGTCTTAACCCTTTACACCCTAACATCAGAATTGATAATCTCCATACTGTTCTTTATACGTTTTTTGAATTGCTAACAAGGAGAATTTGCTTAACAGATATTATTGGTGCAGTTGCCCAGATACTAAAATCGTTTAAAAAATTTAATGTGAAAATATCGTTCAGAGAAATACCGAAATTATTTTCCTCTGATGAATTGTGGCACGCGAGCAGTAGGAAAGTCAATGTTAAAAGAGAACTTATAACGCCAGATGTTTTTAATTTTCTGCTTACCTTTTTCGTTCTTTCTATGTCGATGCCGAGCCCCTGCATAAGCTCAAGCGCTTGTTCATTGTACTCGTCCAGTATCTTCTCTCCTTCAAAATTAACCTCGTCATTGTCAGCTAAAATGGTTTTCACAGCAGGGTCGGCTTGCATCCATTTGTGTTTTTTAATCTGTTCGACTGTATATCTTTGGTTGGGATCTTTGACGAGCATGTGACGGATCAAGTGCTCACATTCTGTGGAAGAAATACAGGTACAATTTAAGTTCAGAGATGCGAAAACAAATGGCTTCCGACGAAAATGCACGAAAATCTTCGTGACAATCGAAGTATACCCGTCAGTGAACGAGTTTACTGCTGACAAAAAGACCAGGGGCTCAAACTAAACTCTACTAGTTTTCAAAATGGCGACGGGCTCATAGTTACCGGTTGTTTGTTTTTTTTTTCCGTATTCAATCCTCTTTACGAAACAAATGAGGTATGTGAAATTCCTTAACCTTTTCTTTTCTTTTGTCATTTCTTAGTTAGCGCAATCCGCAGTTGTATTGTATTACGTGAATAACCTTATCTCTCTCTTATCTTTCCGCGTTTGGGAATTTATCGAAAATGAAAACGAAACTTTATTCAATTACAGTCTCATACCAGTGGACATGAAGAATGGAATGCGAAACCTTCCTTCAAGTACTCTGTCTCTCAGAGCTGGCAAAGTTCCACCATCAAATGGTAAAGCACGGCAAATAAGTACATACAAAACAACTCCCAAACTCTGAAAAGTAACAAATGTAAAAAGGAGGTAAGTTTCTAAAGAAAGTATGTTGCTACGTCGGGAGAAGAGTATAACAAGATAGTGTGGTTTTATCGACTGATTTAATAATGTTAATTGGCCTCCGTAAAGAGAGCTAAGGATCGAAACGTCAGATTTCCTTCCTGGGCCGATTTACATTACCAATACAGTTAATAAAACTAAAGTATATGAAAATTAGTGGTTGAACTCACAAAAGACACTGGATAAAAAGCAAAAAAGAGAAGTTTACTTCAGGTCTGCAGAAAATGTGTCATGTAAAACCTACCCAAATGTCCAACTGAGGCCCATGGTAGAGTTTCCCTTCAAAAACTTCTGGAGCAGCATAAGGAGGGCTGCCGCACCATGTGTTCAGTGGACTTCCAGGTGTGTAGTAGTTACCAAAACCAAAGTCTGTCAAAAGAAACCACAATTAGCTACAATTTCTTAACACATTAGCACAATTTTATAACCTCATTAACTGCAATTTCATAAAAAATCTTACAAAATGGCTTATTCGATGAATTTAAGACTACCTTATCCATAGCATCAAATCAAATTACCACATATGGAGAATCAGGTCATTCTCCTTTTTGGACTAAAATTTGAATGTATGTATGCATTTAGGTCAAGATTTTTCTGTCACTATAGATTGTGCAGTGCGAATTTGGAACAGAAATTTTAACTGGAAAATCATTGACCTACTTTAATAGACTAGGGCAGTTGCTATTTTTGCGCGAGTGAATGGAAATTGATAAAAATAATATCCCAACATTGCGTGAACTCCAGGAAGTGACGTGCATAGAGATGTCAAGACCAGAGTTTATGCGGTACCGGTATATTTCTGCTAAGTCTGTTTGCAAAGTATGACAAATGTCAGGAAATAGGGATTGTTAACAGTTAAGATAAAAAACAGTGTGTATATTAAAAACGATATCCCAACATTGCGTGAACTCCAGGAAGTGACGTGTATAGAGATGTTATGACCAGAGTTCAAGCAGTACCGGTATATTTCCGCCAAGTCTATTTGCAAAGCATGACAAATGTCAGGAAATAAGGATTGTTAGCAATTTAAAAATCTTTGGTCACAGGCCAAGAAGCAACGCATTCAATTATATTTCACTCAGCCATGATTGAAGGCTCCTTGAGCAACAACCATAAAAATACAAAACACAAAACTTGACTTAAATACAAGCTTTTCCCATAACAGCAACAAACTCCCTTCTCTTACCTGCTATTTTTATGTTGAAGCTTTGGTCGAGAAGGAGATTCTCAGCCTGTAGTAAAAATAAAAAGTAAACATTTAATATTTTTCTTATAGTGTACCTATAAGTACTAAAACACGCATAAACTGCAAAATTCAAACTATGGACAACACCCAAAACATAAAGTTCTTGTATATTATGGTTCGTAAACATTTACATGTAAAAAAATACATCATAAAACACGTTTTTAAACAAACAAGAAATTCAAAATTGTGGTACTACAGTAAAATAAAGTGGTTTCACCCTTTTTTGTATAAGAAACAGCATTCTGTGGCACAGTTTTGTTCCGCATTACATCGAAGAATTGAGAGCAACTTAAATGTATTTGGGTAAATTCTAATTGCATATAAATGATATGGTTCTTAAAACCTGGCCTCTCCAATCAAGGGTTTCTTAGAGTTCAAAAGTAATTTTTCATGAGTGGATAAGTTTTGCCTTAGAGTTCAAAGTGTCTGTTTGTGGAAAAGAAATCTAAGATTGTATAAAGATGACAGATGTGTTTCTGATGAGGGGTACAGAATAAATATTCAAATAAGCAACTCAGATAAAACCAGATTGCATTTCAAATTCAAAAGGCAGTTTTTTCCTTAACACAATAGAACAAAAGCTGCGCTGTTGAACAGAACAGACTGACATAACTTGGATGCAACACAAAATCAGTTTTCTCCAGAGATTTCTTGATGGTCAGCCATGAACAAAGTAGCTGGCAAAGGTTAAAATTTATTCCATATCAAAACAGACTATTTGTCGGGCTTAAGAAAGGAGTAACCGCTGATAATGCCAGCTGCTAGCAGTTCTGAAAAACACTGCCTATGACATCACTGTTTTTGCAAATAACTAGTAAATATAAAAATCAGAAAGTTAAAAAATGTTCATTATCATTATTGTAATGCTTTAATTTCTAAAATAAAAAAAAACTCACCTTTAAGTCTCGATGAACAACATGTCTCTTGTGACAGTACTCAACAGCACTCAAAATCTGTGCAAACTTCCTACGTGCTTCTTTTTCAGGAAGAGCACCATTGGACAGGTAATCTATAAAAGAAAATATCCAGGTTCATTACTTGCCCTACCCAAGGTGTTAATTAAGACTGTCTGAAACCATTTTTCAAAACAAACAAAATTGGAAAGCAGCATCCGGCTTCTATAACAATGCAGGGTATTGTTTTCGAAAGTGATGCAACTTTTAGTTTTCAAGATTAAGAGCCAGCGAAATTGTTACCCAGGGCAGTTAAATAATACAGTTAGTGTGAGGCACAAACATCTAGCATGATAATAGCCATTCATTTTTCTTGCTCTGACATATACATGTAAATTCTATTCACATGTAATGTAATTAGTCAACATTTTCCATGGAGCTCCTCATCAACTGTGACAAGGAAAGGTAGTTCAAACAGAGTGAGAGAGGAAAGAACAAAGAATGCCATAATACTGTCTCTGTGTTTCAAAGCTAACTACCAAATTCAACATCTTCTGAAACAACATTTCTCTTTTTTTCATATATAAGTGGTTAATTTGCCCCGTTTCTGCAAATTATTGCACTGTAGATGCAATGTACATCCCAATTTATACATAACATTTGATTCTGCCGGTTGAAAATGTCATTAAAACAATTTTCTGTTTCCAGTTGATTACATGTTTGTTTCTCTAAGTGAAAGACCTCTCGTTGAGATAAATCCAAAAATTTCGATTAACAGTTTTATAATATGAAAGGAACAGCACACCTGGATCGGTTTATTTGGCAGACATACACGAACAATTACTGATATCCAGCTGGGATATCACTGGTAGTTTTTTTATGAGCTTAAAAACAACATTTTAATCTTTTAATCACGTAAATGTCAGTAAAACCTTGCTAAGTCATACAGGTATTTCTTTCAAATGATCTTAAGACTGAGCACAAAACCTTTCCCATGTTCGAGTCGTTTTTATAATATTCTTGCGAAAACGAAACCGATTATCTATTAGTTCCAATCTAATCTCATGAACTTTATCGATGAAAAAGTTCAATACATCAGAGGGTCATGCTATTGAAATACATCTCGATTCGAAATAACAACTTGGAGACATTAAACTCACTTGAGTAGCCCATCTTCGCGACGTACAACATACATCATTGTATCAATTTATGTTACGAAGACCCTACTTCTCGCATTTGAATAACACGTCCGAAATGCCCAGAACGTTGGAGATTATAAGGATTTTCTCAATGAAAAGACCTTTTGCCCGAGTAATCAATGGTTGTTTTGTTATAAACGGACTCACTTGTATCTTCTCGCATCACTGCACTAAACAAGCGCCATCGTAGATAAAAAAAACCCGACAAGGGAAATATCGTTCAGGCTAACTAAGGCAAGGCAGCGTGAATTTATCGAATGTCAAATTGGATAAAGTTTCATGGTACACTATAATTTAAAACGTCACGCATACCAGAGTTGCTGAATATACTTGTATATTGATCAAATCCGCAGAAGGCAAACCGCGACTTTCGCAGGAATTTAAACATCTCAATGTTCGGAGAACGTTCACATTGCTCGAATTTACTTCTGAACTGATGAAAACTTAGCATAAATGATAAATAACCAAAAGAAGAGGAAGAAAAAAACGGCTGTAATCAACGCTCATGTCAGAATTGCAAATCACAAGCCATTCTAAATTAACATAAAGAGGTCTTTAAAGACACGGCTAGTACAACTATTACTTACTAAACATTTCTCCATTGCTGGCGTATTCTGTCACTAAATACAACATGCTCTTCGTTTCCATGACCTTAAGAGAAGGTAAAAGCAACAAACAGTAGATTTTATTTTGCACACTGACTTCTGATAATAACATTACATGAACGTGGTGAATTTATCATAAATGAGACCTAAACAATGCAAAAACGAAAGCTCTGAATGTATTCAAGCCCTGCTAAATAGGTCGCTACAACGATTCACCTTCAATTGGCTTACCTGATATAGTTTAACGATGTGTGGATGATTGAGAAGTTTCATTATTTCTATCTCTCTGTACACCTTCTTTAAGTTGGTTTCATCCAGTTGAGTCTTGTCGATGATCTTAATGGCGACCTAGCCGAGAGAAAGTGGAATTTTTTTCTGCTAATTTGAGAAAGCAAAATGACATGAATTCGCCATTCGCACGCACGCTAGATCGAACACGAGCAATAAATATATATTGTCGATCAGCTTTTACAACGCGAATTAAAACAGCTTTGATTCCCTTACCTGGCTTTTTGTTACGCGATGCCTCGCTAACTTCACCACCGCGAAGTTGCCTTTGCCGATGGTATTCTCTATGTCGTAAAATCCAACTTTAATGGCTCTTTTAGTCCGATCCGTCGCCATTTTAGGCCCTGCATCCGAAGAGATGCGCCTGCAGAGGCGAAATGAAAAGCCTTTGAGCGACAAAATTCACAAGGAAATGCGTTATTCATTTGACAAAGACATTTTGGCCAGTCCAGTCGGTGCATGCTTTTCACATGCAAGACGTAGCAATAACGTCATCAGACGTAATTGATGCGATGAACGCGTAAGGTTGCCATGGCAATAAGACGGGTCATCGAGCGCAAAGAAAGAATGACGTCAAAGTTCTTATGCATCAACAAAAGCGCCATTCGAAGTTTGATCTTGTCCGTTTTTCAGTGAGACTGACCGCACAATTCGGTTTAATTACAATCCTAATGGACAGCCCTTCTACTTTTCCTTAGAAAACCATCGAAACAAAGGCGGTTTGGTGTACGGAAATGTCACAATCGATCTCACATCAACGTGTCTGAGAGACAACATGCTATTCAAATAGTGGATAGTCGAGGTTCTATGAAAACAATCTGCGACATTTCCTTTCAAAACCGAGGAGTATTTGTGTTTACTTCCACGATCTAGGAAATTTTAAGGGTGAATCTGACATTTCCTCTCTTTCTAAAAATTACAACAGGATATAGTAAAGTGGAAAATTTGAGATCAAAGACAGGTCGTTTGACATGAAATGAGCTCAGAAAGCAGCCAGCTAGAGAGTAGGAAAGCTGACAGCTAAGTACGTTCGATATTCAAGACGGAAAATATGCAGGAGGCAGACATTTTTCCCAAACAGGAAAACTTAACAGCTAACGAAATTAACCTGAAGAGTTTTAAAACCACAGCTTGCCGATAAGTCTGAAGCTCGAAGCTTGTTTTGCTTTCCAATGGCAACTTGCCAGACGATTGAGTCTGTTTTGTAACGATAACCGGTTTACCGTCGTAAGGAACAATCCACGGGTCACTATAGTTGAGACGAGCGGGAAAGAAAAGCCACTTTTCGATAATGTGCAAATTTAAGAGAACCTAGTGAATCTCACGCAGTATCTTTTCTGCAAAGAAGGCAAAATTCGAACATCGATTGACTTGTGCTGTTTACGGCTTCTAACGTTTGCGACGCAACCCGGAGTGATTCGACAAAATCTATCGTAACTTTAAGGCTCACCTGAAATTTTCTCTCAGCCCAATCTTGGAAGTTTTGCGTTAAGCTCAATGTAATAAAAAGAAAAGCGTATTGGCCTGACACACTGGCAGATCTTCCACTGCAAGGTCAAAGCCGCTCCAATGTTTTGCATTTATAAAAGCTAAACCCGGGCAGTCACATCCGCAAGTAGTGTGACGTCACCACGAATATTCTGGCGTATTGTAGAAGCTCCCCTACGCGCGTGCGTTGTTGCTTACCTCGTACGAAAGGGGACGTGATGCAATTTCCAAAAGAAAAAAAGAAAAAAAAAATCTAAAATTGAAATTAAATTCTCTGTCTCGACAACAATCGTACAATCCGTACGTTCTGAAATGCAAAATTGGTTTTGGACGTGGAAGAATTTATTATTAATTTTTTGGTTGAAAAAAAAAATTGTTGGTGAGTAATCATCGAAATTGTTGGAAACTTGGATAGTAAAGGGCAAATACTACACATCACTCTCAGCTGTGAGGATAGAGTGGAAAAACTAAAAATGAAAAAGTGATTTTATTTATGAAATTCTCTAGTTCGAAATGTTTTGTCACACAAGTCGACGATGGGCTTTTTAATCTCTAAGATTAATTATTTCGATCACCAAACGTTTAAAAAGTTGCATTTGATTTACTAATAAAGCGATTCACCTGCGCTGACGTTTCACGCTATGCGTAACATTTCAGCACAAACTAATGCCAACAGGAAAATTAATTTCACATGCACAGTTAGCTATACACAGATTTTGATAAACTACGTCCGCATCACTTTTCTTAATGCTCGCATCACTCATTTCTAACGAAACAACGATTTTCGTGGGCTTTATTCATGTTATCATAAATTAACCTTTGCTTTGATTCGCGCCACTTATTTCTTGCGACACAGCGATTTTGGTGTGCGTTATTTATAAACTAACGTTAGCTATTTTTAGTGACCCAGCTTGAAAGGAAGGTCAATCCATTTCAACACGGGTGACAGCGCACTCATTCAAATCCCGCGTTGCATTTATGATCGTGCGCTGCGAACCTTGAATAACAGCCAGTGGCTACTTCTACATAACTTTCGCAAAATCTCGTTAGTAACTCTTGTTTCGTTGTCTCCTGATTTAACGGCACAGCATAATTAGTTAGAATACGTGTTTGGTTTCGTTCCTTCAAGGCTGTTATGCATGATATCACCGGGATCAATTCGCATAACTCTAAGTTTGTGTCATGCTATATTTTTTATCTAAATGCATTTTAAAGGCGGAATTAATCCCAATTCACAACGTGAGGTACTTAACTGACAACCACGCAATTTTAGTCAGGTGCAATCGACTCCACCCAGGCATGATTTGCTGTAAATATTCATAACACGTTTTTGAACATGAATCCAATTGACCTTAAAGTTTGTCAAAAAACGATATGTCACCGCTTTTGTTGCGATATCTTTCAAATACAACCGTTTTCGACGATTTCATCTTCTTTTCTAGGCCCACTCGTTTCCCGGACTAAGTTTGCGCATATCCCTCTTTCGCCTCTTTTATGCCCAAACGAACTTGTACAGTTTCTACACGATTTCAAAATACTACTGATGTTTAAAATACTCAGCTAAAATACACTCACTCTAATAGTAAACATTTCTCATCCAAAAGAGAAAAATAATAATAATTGCAATGATTTCTGAGAATTTTGTTTCATTAAAGCTGAAAAGAATTTATGTTTGCGGGCATAGATAATTTTTGGGCCCGATTCGCTGCTAAGCGAGGGTTGAATTCACGCTAAGAAGAGGATAGAAGATATTATTTATACCCATGAACATTAACTGTATTATTATCGATTTGGATGGTATTCAGCAGATAAAAACGGGAAAAGATGACAGCAAAACGGTCTGAACAAGCACGGCAAAATATGTCGCAAAACATGCCTGCAAATTATGCGGCAATGCCCGACAAAGTGTTAATAAGAAACGTTATGATCAGGCGAAGCTCCGTCATGCCTTCTTGATGTCGGACTTCATTCGACTTCTAAAAATAACATCCCTTTAGCAGTGATGTTGAGTTATCGACCTTCGATGGCACAGAGCTAGAGAAGTTCTTCAAGCTGATTACTAAACATGCCCTAAAAAAAAATCAGTTTTAATTCTTAAATAAGGTCTGACTATACATGAACACTGACCAACCTTTAGAAGCCTGTGAACTCTGACCAACAATGTCGCGCCGTGAATTGGATAGAATTAGCAATTCATACCGGCCATAATAATACAGCTGGTACAGTACAGCCCTAGTCTAAAATGCGTCGTTGTTAATCTTTTTCCCTGATAGATCCACAAAGGAGCATTGTCTCATTTTAAAAATCTTCGATCACACGAGAAGTCGACACATGGGATTTTGTGATTTGGGAACAGGCATCGGAAATGGACGGGCGAGCGTTCAAACATTCAACTTCCGCAAGAGATCAGATCTCAATTTTTTGTGGTTTTGGAACTGGGGTTTTCACTTTTTTTCGATCAAAAGCAAATTTTATTGTACTAGAGGCGCTTAATTTATGCTGTCTTAAATTTGGCATAGTGATCAATATTCCTGAGAGATTATTTTTCAAAAATGGAGTTTCCCATTTAATATTGTCGTTTGATAAACAGGATGGGTGTAGTAGCCATTAAGAGTCCGTTATTTCTTCATGAACACATGATATATTATGAAAACAAGCACCTCCGTGATCCATTAAATAATTTCAGTCCAGCTGTTTTACGCCTTAGACTGGTAAATTGCACTGCTTTTTGTCTTAGTATACGTCTAAAAGAGTTATGATTGCGTAATTCTCTTGTAAGACACGATCCGTTGATTTTAAATTGCTATTTCGACACTTGCGTTCGTGGAGAACGATTCGAAATTACTGGCGCCCGCAGCGGATGTTTTTCTTTTTCTTCGCATCAGTAACCACGGACCGAGTCACACACGTTCACAATCTCACACGCGTCATCGTACTCTGGGAGAGTGGAACGAAAGCAATACGATGACTCGGCGAAACTTCCCGAATAATAAACGAACACAAACGATCACGAGTCGGCTTAATTTTACGACAATTGAAGCATTCGTGACGTATTTTAGTCACGCAGGCTACGGTAACCTCTATTCGAATAAATTTATCATTTTATTCGCAACTATAACTTAAATAGTGCAATCGGACACATAGCGGAAGCTTATTTCAACGACAGAAAGTACCTACTATCATTTAAATTATTGAATAGGAGATAGGAAAGAAAAGGAAGTTGTTCTGATTATGCTGAATTGACTAATGCCTTCCGCTTGGTCACAACTTCCCAAAAATCTTAAACGAGACATGATTTTTCCAGGAAACAATTTAAGTTTCCGAAATAAGGCAATGTCTATTATAGAAGAATTGTCATATCATTCCTCGAACTTGTGCTGACAAGGGCAAAAACTTTGGTGTAAAAACTTCATACATAAACATCGATAGACTCATTTCACCTAAGGCAAAGTTATTATAATCCTTCTGGCCGGTTTTTATTTTTTATTTTTTATCAGGTTCATCGTTAATTCATAAATATACGATGAAGAGTATTTACAGTTTTGAATTTCGAAAACTTGCAAATCTAGTTTTTCGCGGTTACTATCGAGCGATTTTCAAAGAAAGAAACGCTACGATAATTTCTGCCTTTCCCTGAAAGAGGCAAATTCCCCGATAGCATCAAGATCCCTCGCTGAGTCGGTAAAATACTGATAAACACAACCTAGTATCGATTCTTTTTTAAATAATGGTAAATTTTCTTGTTCCGTGATAAACCTCATGTACTGAAATGTAACTCAATGCTTTGCGTTAGAAAGTATGACGTTTCCCCGGCTTTTTCTTTTCGTCTATTGGAGCTGATTACGGTATCTGAACTGCGTAACACCGTGAAAAAGTAAGCCATCTGACGTAAGGCTCTCCTACCCGATTTGAGTTCTTATTGGCTCTCAAAGAGCGTTCGCAGTTCTGTACAAGTTTCGTACGTGGGCCATTGACACACAGAGGATTTTATTCCTTGCAACGTTGCTGTAGAGACTGAAACAAACGCATTTCCATTGATCGAAAACAGGTGATAACAAAGGTGTTGCAACAGCACCGTAGAATCGAAAAGCGCGCGAGGGTTTTGAAATTTTAATGTATTTTGAATAAATTTCTTTGCTTCCATGTTTACTTTCCTAATATACAGTTAAATATTGTGCGCTTTCATTTAAGATTTTTCCAGACTGTAAAAATGAAATTCAAACGTTATGCATTTAAGCAGTTCGCTGCGAATTCACTTACTGATTTCCAGAGAAATGATTTACGATTACTCGGGAAAGGATTACTGTCGCTATAACAATCACGGAAATAGTTTTCCCAATACGTCTAATGCAAATCCCTGATTTATTACATGGCCAAAGTGAAAAAAAAAAATTGTCGTTTCATCATTTTAGTGCGGAAATTTTCTTGAAAAAGTTTGCAAATTTACAGAATGATGCATATCTTTCCTCAGAATTCACAACAATATAGAATAGAATGGTTTTCCCAGCCCGATAGTTCTTATATAAACATTTGCATACAGTTAAATTTTCTTTCATAATTTAGCAGAAGCGAGAGCACACGATTTACGTTCCTCGTTTTCTTTCGATAGTTTAGATGCTTTTGATCAAACTGTAGAGAGGGTAGGGAATGTAACCTCGAAACCTACTGTACAAACCATCGATTTAGCGAGGTAGGAGATCATGATTCATCGACAAGATAAATTCAAACAAAATTCTAGACCTAATATCTCGCTTCTAACAGAGCTTACATGCCGTGGAATACCGAAGTTTTCGGAAACTGTTTTTTTACCTTGGTTTTGAAACTACATGTAGTATGTTTCAAATTCGTCGATTCGTTTTGTAAGGTAACTAAAATTTCCGCAATATGCAATAGCGAAGAGGAAACTGTATTTTCCTAAAGCTAACGAAAAACAACCAAAAAAAAAACATCGTTTACTTACAGGCATGCAGATGGACCTATATCCATGAATTGAAATGTGTCGGCTACAACCATTCTTGCTTCAAACGCGAAACCGAATTTCGTTTTTGCTTTCAAAGCCGTCTATAACATTATGCAAGGTTGATGAATGTTCATCAAGAAAGGAATACTGTCATTACGGTTTACGTCATTCGGTACAAAGAGTGACGTCATGGATTGGTGAGTACGTCAAGTTAAAGAGAGAGTCAAATCATACTTTCCGCTGTAAAATTCGCCGACGTTGTAAAAAACTTGCGCAAGATGTTGATTTGTGCCAAAGTAATTTTCAAAATGATATTATGCTATAAGTTTACAAATTTAATAGCAAAGATACATAGAGAAAACTCTCAGTTGTTACTTAGAGTTTGTAGAATAATGTGTAAATGAAAGTAGCCAGCAAGCGCCAAAATAAACTGTTTGATGGTTAAATCGATGTAAACTGAAGTAATTTTCTCTTCGTCTTAATATATTTCTGATTGTATATGTTTGTTTTTTTTTTTTTCCTTTTTCATCGCGGACAACTTCCCATAAATCTCCCGTGGTAATTTTAGGAGAAGTCTAAATTAAATGACAAAGAAAATGAAATTTTTAGCGTTCACGTTAGAAATCATCCGGCTTTATCTTTCTATTTCCGATGGCTTTTTTCCCCTTTTTCTTTGAATTTGGCTTATGAAAAAGCTTGTGTTTCGTCTAATCTCCCCGATATACTGAGCCCAACCAAAGCGAATGAACGAGTTATTGTCATCAGTGTTTACCAGAGAAAGTAATCTTGTTATGACTGGTAAGTGAGTTCGTTGCACTGAAATTCAAATCTGCAGCGCAGGAACCCACTAATAACATTTGAATGGTTTTAAATAGAATGGTTTTAAATTACACAACTCCAAAGAAAAATTTCCCTCGATATAGTGAGGGTTCCAGTTCTTATCTTTCTTGTAGTTTTGACTTAATTTTAGTATCAATCATCTTTTGTTAAGATGGCTGTTGACAATTTATAATCGGACTTTCTGTACGCAGATTCTTGCAAATCGAACAAGACCGGAAAAACACTTCAGTTTTGAAGGAGCCGGTTTTCATTACCGGAAAAGGAGACAATTATTTGAAACATTTTACGTAAAGGAACTTTGGATTCTCGGGAAAAACACTTATTTGTTAGGGAAGTGTAAACCTAATCCAGCTGTCTATCATTCACTGATCGGGAAAAGTTTATACTTTTCAAGCACGAAAACGTAAAAGTCACCGTCAAACAAAAAAAATTTTTTTGCTTCAAAAATCGAACTTTTGCTATCATGAAGCACAACATTTTAATCTTGCAGTGTGGTGTAATTTACAAGCTTAACTGAAGCTACATGCAGGGCTGACGTGAATAAGCACTGGATTTAAAATTAGGATAGCCTCCAGGAGCTTAAATATCCTACAGGATTTTGATAAAAGCAAATCGCGTCATAAACTCGTCATAAATGCCACGCAAAAGGTTTGCTATTATTTTTTATAAACAGGTCTTGCACATTCACGCGGCTCAGCTTAAAAAGCCCGTGGCGTCTTTTAAAATCTATCCTTGCTTTTTTTCCTATCTGATTATTTGTTTAACTTTTCAACTGAACTAAGTAACGAAACAGGAATGTATTTGTACAAGCTGATTTGAAACTTGTGATAGTTCTGGAATCGAAACCTTCGTGAGTTCGTAAGAATTGACGTGTGTTTATACAAATCTCCACGTAGGATACTCAGGTATCCAATGGCTATGAATTTTTTTTGCTAAAAGGAAAATTTGTAGGCAAACTTGTACACGCTATTATCTTTACCGCGTCAAAACTAACCGTGGATTGCGAGGGCCGAATGATTTCTCAGCTAGACACTGTAACGAAAAAACTTAGTTCGAGTCATGAACGATGTCATTTCGATGCGTGTTTGAGCAACAGGAGCGCTCTCATCTCACTTGACCACTCGTTTTCTCCCTCTCTCTATACCCTTGGGAATACATTTTGACAGATACCAGTGATTGGCAGTGGTCTTCATCATCGCGCGTACGAGGGGAGATCAATTTTGGCCGCCCGCCTTCTAATTAATCCACGAAAAATTCAAAAACGAAAACATAAGTAATAACCGCTGTCTCACAAGGAAAAAAAACAAAGAAAGACTTTAAAAAAAAGGAAGATTGAAACGTTCTCAGAAATCGGTAGGAGGAAACAAAAGGAGAAGAGTCTGAGGAAAACTTAAGACCTTTCGAACACAAAGTTTAGTCAAGTACGGGTAACCTGCTGATTTACCCGATTCTGTTTTGCCCAAAAAGTAATTATACGTATTTTCCTTTAGAACACCGTGACCTACTGGCTTTCTTGGTTGTTTTCAACTCGTGTGAGACAACGTGGTTCTGACAGTTGTCGTCGAATTCAAGTTATTCGTCTAATGTTAAAATTACTAGCAATAAAAGTCGAAGTCCCAAAGGCATAGCAATGTTTTCTCGTCAAATTCGTTTATAAATTAAGGACTGTATAACATCGTCTAAAACAGAGACTAAAAAAATTTAGACCAAACTCAATTTCGTCGAATGCCAAACAGTGAATTACTAACAATAGAAGTCGAAGTCACTAAGTCACGGAAAAAGCCTAAGTCACATTTGTGCCTAAATTGATGGCTGTATATCATCGTCTAAGAAAGAGTTTAAAACTTGAAATTATCATCGAAGTTTAAAACAATCCTCTCAAAATTACCAGCGAAAAAAGTTACAAGTACAAAAGAACATCTCAAGCCATAATTGTGCCTAAATTAACGAGTGTATTATTTGCAAAGAAAGTCAAATTCACAGAAATATCGAAAGTCAAATTTAAACCAAAATTGACGAGGGTATATCATCGCCTCGGAGAGATTAAAGAGGTGACACCGAAGTCAAAATCATCAGCAATAAAAGTCACAAAATAACAGAGACATATCAAATCAAATTTGTGCCTGAATTATCAAGTGTCAAAGTTGCAGTCTTGCAGTATATGACAGCGCGAGATTGAATCGCATGGTTCTGTATTACTTAGCGTTTTGGCTGGCTCGCTGTAATGTTGGCAGTACCAAATATAAAGTTCTTCAAAGCCAAGATTAATTGAAATTCAAAATAAAGTTTGCGATATTTAGTTCCTTTTTAACTTCCATAATTACCAGACGGAGTATATTTTGTTCTCACGGCCTTTTGATTGGATCGTAATTTTGTTTGACCACGCAAGTCCGCGACAGGCAAAAATTATAGTAAAACGAAAATAATATTTTCAAAAAATCAGTATTTTTTGCGTTTTACTGCTTTTACAGTTCACAAGTTTGATTTCACAAGACGTTCGAAATCTAAAAAATGATATTGCTCGATCATCATTGTAGTATTAACACTAGAATTGATGTTTATGAAATAACTTTCTTATTGACTTACTCTAAGAGATATAACTTGGTGTGTTTGTGGATTCCTTAACGCACGACTCCCACTCTGCATTCTTAACTAGTGGAGGCGAAAGACCTATTTCCGGGGGTCAACAAAATGCTCTTGGTTCACGAGTGCTTTCCCCTCCGTAGCGATAGCAAGTGGAATATAACGGATAAGGGACTGAGAGGCAAAGAAACGTTAACCAACTATTCCTGTTACTTTTCTTTTCTCAAGCTAATCTGGCTCTGTGTCAGAATATCTAAATTTCCTTTTCACTCACGTTTGATGGATCTGAATGGAAGACAAAACCACCGACTCGATGGTCTCTGTGTTCTGCGTTTCTATTGGGGCCACTTGGTTTCGGAAATGCCGTACAATAGTAGACCACTTTTCCTCATAATTAACAGATTGCTATCGTTTGTCTAAGTCAGTATCGCGCGTGCCTCACATTTCCCAAAACTATTTGTTTTGAAATTGCCATAGTGAGGACTGAAACAAGACCACAAAGTCGTGCGTGATTGCATACGCGGGCCTTTTAGTTTGTCTAGTTTCAAAATGCGAATATTAGCTGTGCAATTTGTTATATAGTTGCAGTTCTTCCGACCTGTTGTTTGTATTGAAACCGAGGTATATTGGGCCGTCCTTGATCTGAACCGTTCTCGATGAAACTTGGCGTTTCCTGTTCCAACTCCAAATTGTTCTTTTTTCTTTGAAAGAAAAAAAAAAGCGACCAAAAATGACAGTTGTCTGGCCCAATGCGAAGAAAAAAGTCCATTTTTGTCTCTAAAGGGGTGAACTCATGGCGAATGCTTTAAAATTCTACAACGCAAAGTTTTTCCTTTTCATAATTGGTTCAAATTCTACAAATTCCTCTTACACCACCGACAGAGTATTATATAATCTATGTTTGTGGTCGGAGTAGCCAGGGACCAGTGAGAATCGTTAAGAGATCGTTGAGAGCCTTGACCCTTGAGATTCAAGTGCTTATACAGTGTTTACAGAGTTGCCACGGCAATAACAAATCATTATTCTGGATATAAAGAGTTCTACACTAAATGAATCACTGGAATGATTGGCTCTAAAAAAATATTGAAAAGTGACAACTGAATTTGTGGAACTAATTCAAGATTTCTTGAGGAAAAGTTCCTACAAGTTAAGGTGGTATTCCACTCAGAAATTCGCATTTTTTGCTAGGAATTGTATAAAATTTATAATTTCGGAGAATTTTTTTTTATCCCTAGGTATTGTTCTTTCATTCCCAACTCTGTTTTTATAGAAATTAATGATACGAAAGAGAAATTCAAGCAAAATTCTTGAGAAGGTCTACTCTTTTTCCACAGAAACTTATTGTGACTTATTTACGAGATTGTTCTCCTCCAATAGAATTGGAGTAAAATTTTACTGGAATAATTAGTAAAATATTGATTCAAATGATCAACGTAACTTAAAGTAAACTTTCTGCTCAGCAACATGCATGGATTTGAATTTTTTTATTGTCTAGGCTTCATACTAAAAAATAAAGGCTAAAAATGCTGTTGAGAAGAGCATAAAAAAGGCTTTTTTTAGTATGAAAGTGCTGCTCAGAGCTGTCATGGTTATAGAGTTTTATCAGCAAAGATCAACTGGAAAACGAAAGCACTACCGCAAATGCAGAGTTACCAAGCGCGAGTACAATATCATCCTGCAAGATTTATCAGCTAGCTCTGTGTCTTTCATTT